TATGCGAGGCAGCATTTCTGATTGGTAATAACCCATCGCAGATAGAGTCCAGATTTTTCCAGTCTCCTTCAGCATAGCCTTGTGGGCAATAGTTGCTTACTTCTCCAAATTTTCTCCCAAACATAAGGTAATTATGAAGGGCAACCACGGCTTTTGTAATCGAAACAACTGTCTCAACCTCTGCAATTATTGGCCTTCTAAAAATTCTAAATCTCGAGGCACATATACCAAAAACATTTTCCACTTGACGCCTAGCTCTGGAAATACGGTAGTTAGTGATTTGCTCCTCGGTACCCATCGCATTTCTTGCATATGGTTTCATTAGGTAAGGCTTAAAGGAAATGCCTCATCTCCAACGAAAACATACGGAAAAAAATCATTAGTCCCTGGCAACATTCTAGCTTTAGGGAGTTTCAACAAACCATTATCAATAGCAAAACCAAGCTTGCTTGCTGCAAAAACTCCTCCATCACTTTGTCTTCCTGAATCTCCGATGTCGATCATTGTAAATTCGTAGTTGGCATTCACAACAGCCATCAATACTATACTGTGGGTCTTTTTATAGTTAAAAAAGAATGACCCACTGCGGGCAGGGGCTTGCATAACAACGTGCTTTCCATCTATTGCACCAACACAGTTTGGAAAGTTCCATTTCTCCTCAAATTCTTCTGCTATTTTTCTCCATTCGTCTTCGCTACTTGGGACCTTAAGATATCCTGCTTCAAACAGCTCAGTCCAAATTACTTCTGTAGTCTCTTTAACGATCCTACTAACAGAAGTTTTACTCATTCTATAGCTTGCTGCAATAGTAGTTTGTGCATCTCCAGTTGCAAGATACCTGAGAGTGACTGATAAGCGCTCCCCTGGCTGAATTGCTTCCCTTTTTACACAACTCTTTAAAATTTTTGGAGCTACCAATTGCAACAAATGTTCATATTTTTCCGGTGTCATTCTAAATTGCTGGTAAAAAAGCATATGATCATACAATTTCATTTCTCTGATCAACAAATGATATTCACCCTTCTCTTTTCGCTCTGCGTATAACTTCCTAACCCAAATCCTTTTATTTTCCTTCTCTTTACTTCGTCGTCTTTGCCGTCTTCTTAACAATAGCAGAACTATAATTTGCCTTCTTGTCAAACCCATTCTGAAAAATATCTATTGGCCTAATGTTATTTACCTTTTATCGTGAATTTTCTTTCAATCGAGGGCGGTCGATTCGACCGCTTTCGTTTAAGTGGAAACTGGTCGGTGGATTCGGATTATCGATCGAATCGATCGACGTCGATCGATTCGACCGCTTTCGTTTAAGTGGAAACTGGCCTTTAGAACCCTGACGTAATAAAAACAAAGGTATTTATTGCTAGTCACGTAAGGAAAACAAGAAACTACTGAAATGCCAGTATGCGTACATCACGGCTGTCATAGTGTAATTATCGGACCATACATATGGGCCTACCGCGCAACCATGGAATGTTTACACTCTTTCTTATTTGAACATTTTGATTAGCACACGAGCCTCGTTAAAAATTAAAAAAAAATTGAGGCTGAGGTACTGTATAATGAAATTTCGAACAAAATTCCATACTTGAAAGATATCATTTAGAAACGAGGAGTTTTTTACAATCTAGGGGTGATTTGTTAATGAATTTTAAAATTTTTCGTCAAATAAAGGATGTCTCTCTGACTTTGTTGGCAAATGAAGCCTGAACACCACCTTAGAGCGCAATAGCTGATAAATGCAATGCTTAAACCCTAATGATTTAAGAAAATTCCAGCCTCAAAGTTAAGAAAAATTAAAAACACCCAGCCTGAACTTCAATTTACTGTTTCTCACGAAAAAGAGCGAGGAAGAGAGTTGTTTTTAGTTTTGGTAATGGGCGAAGTCTACTCGCTGTTTTGTGGTTATAGCCCATGATTATTTGCACTGGTGGCCATGGAAGGCCTATTTCAATACCTTGTGTCGTACCCTTGAAAAAAGGAGTTGCTTTGCGACAAAATATGAGGATAATGTGTGTTGAATTCTACTTGTTTGCCTCCTTTTTGTTAAGAGGTACTGTTGTTTCGACTTTGACGTTTTGTTACAGCAGCAGTACCACGTCATAACGAGCTCAGAATAATAAATATGGCACAATGTTTCTTTATATTTTTAGATTACGATACACTGTGATTTATATTTGTGCAATCTTTATATTTGTGTAATCTTTAATTTCGGCAAATTTCAACAAATTGTTATTTGTTGCTGTAATGAATAGAATAAACTGATGAAATTGAATCGAACGATGAATAAGGTATTTTGAACAAGAAGGAAGCTGCAGACGTTTGGTTTTGGCTATACAAATTCCATCTTCCTGTTTCCGCTCAACCATAGTTCCGGGATTTACATGCTTACAATAAAAATAGTTTAGCGTAAGAAAAGCCTCTGTTAGAGTGAATGTTGTTGTGAGACTGTTGGAAGTTTTTCGTTGTTGCTATAATTAAAAGCAGCTTTCTTGTTTAGAATCAGCAGGGGGCATAAGAACAAAGATTATTTAAAAGATATTTTGGCGTAACTAACGCAATTTTCACACTGTTTTGGAATCATTCGTATTTGTTTCATCTTGTAGGCCGTGTCAAGGCAAAGAGAAAGTAGAGAAAAAGGCAATTTTTGAAGGTATTTATCGATTATTATGCTTTATGTGGTTTTATTTTGTTGTTACAGTTAACGCTCATAATTTGCTCATAAAATGCTTTACCAAGTCAGCATGTAAAGACAGCTATTTTAGAAGTTCATGGATTAAAAGTAATACTTTTTTACTGTTAGTTTGCCAATAGTGTAAACACTAAAATAGACTAACATGGAGCAATTTTAGAGATTGCATTATGGAGGTTATTGACTGCAAGCGTTATAGGCGCACTGATTTTCGAAATACCAATCTTTTATAAAAAAATTAAATTGACTTGCATTTTTGGATGATTTTATTTCATTTCGAAGAGAATTCCAAATATTTGGACCCAAAAAGCTAAGAGATTTTATACCATAACTTATACAACACCATCGCGTATTGAAATGAGGATTTATACTCGCAAACTGATGTTTAACCTATTAATACCAAGAACCACGCGTGATGTTATTGGCATGTTGCGACGGAAGATAGATATACTGAGAGAACGCCATCAATAAAATGTATATTACAGTAGAATCCCGTTATAACGTACTCGGTTATTACGTACTTTCGGATATAACGTACTGGTGTGCTTGGTCCCGGCAAAAGGTGTGCTTGGTTTTGTCAATTTTACTTACCCTCGTTACAACGTACTTTCGGATATAACGTACTGGTGTGCTTGGTCCCGGCAAAAGATGTGCTTGGTTTTGTCAATTTTACTTACCCTCGTTACAACGTACTTTCGGATATAACGTACTGGTGTGCTTGGTCCCGGCAAAAGGCGTGCTTGGTTTTAGTCAATTTTCACTTACCCTTGTTACAACGTACTTCGGATATAACGTACTGGTGTGCTTGGTCCCGGCAAAAGATGTGCTTGGTTTTGTCAATTTTACTTACCCTCGTTACAACGTACTTTCGGATATAACGTACTGGTGTGCTTGGTCCCGGCAAAAGGCGTGCTTGGTTTTAGTCAATTTTCACTTACCCTTGTTACAACGTACTTCGGATATAACGTACTGGTGTGCTTGGTCCCGGCAAAAGATGTGCTTGGTTTTGTCAATTTTACTTACCCTCGTTACAACGTACTTTCGGATATAACGTACTGGTGTGCTTGGTCCCGGCAAAAGGCGTGCTTGGTTTTAGTCAATTTTCACTTACCCTTGTTACAACGTACTTCGGATATAACGTACTGGTGTGCTTGGTCCCGGCAAAAGATGTGCTTGGTTTTGTCAATTTTACTTACCCTCGTTACAACGTACTTTCGGATATAACGTACTGGTGTGCTTGGTCCCGGCAAAAGGCGTGCTTGGTTTTAGTCAATTTTCACTTACCCTTGTTACAACGTACTTCGGATATAACGTACTGGTGTGCTTGGTCCCGGCAAAAGATGTGCTTGGTTTTGTCAATTTTACTTACCCTCGTTACAACGTACTTTCGGATATAACGTACTGGTGTGCTTGGTCCCGGCAAAAGGCGTGCTTGGTTTTAGTCAATTTTCACGTACCCTCGTTACAACGTACTTTCGGATATAACGTACTGGTGTGCTTGGTCCCGGCAAAAGGTGTGCTTGGTTTTAGTCAATTTTCACTTACCCTCGTTACAACGTACTTCGGATATAACGTACTTAATACACTGGTCCCTTAAAGTACGTTATAACCGGATTGTAAACATAAAACGAGATCTATTAAAAAATATATTTATTGTTGTTTTACTCCAATGTTGGTCTGGGCATTTGTAGGCCAGAGTCCAGATAAGTTGTTAACCTTCCTCCAAACAAAAAAATCCCAGAAGGCAAACCTTCCTCACAAAACAGTATAAAGTGGGCGTGGTTTGGGTGTGTCATAGGAGCTTCTATCGTTTTTCGTGTACCTTCCTCCGGTCAGTGGCCGTGTGACTGTAATGTTTTCATGACTCTGCTGTAGACATTTACAGATGGGCTTTCTTACCGATTTCATACATCTCTTTAAATATATTGTTTGGTTTGTACATAGAGTCTGTAAGATTGAAGGTTTTTTTTATCTTTTTCTTTACTAATATTTTCCTTTTTATCTTTATACCTTTATATATTATACTTTTTCACAAAAACCAGATTATTTTTGCCAACTCTCGGTTTTGTTATTTTTTGAAAATTTGTGGCTCGGATTATCTTAATGTTTTTCTTATTTTAAATATGATATTTCCACAACTACATTTTATAAGTTGTTTCTAAGTCCACTAAATGAAAGTTTTGCATGATGTTTTAGTAGCACTTGCTGGTCAAATTTTCCCTGTTTTTCTAGAAAAAAGCGCAAAGTTTCAAAATTCGTTGCTTTCTGCTTCTAATTTTTCATCCGAGTTCGGTCATGTTCTTACGTTATTCATATTTTTGGCGATTTGAGCCCCCGCGTTCTTATTGAAAAGAGTGTATAACTTCCCATTTAATACCAATATATTCCCATCTTCGACAAATTTATAGTCAATCTTTTCCCAAGGTTAAAACTTCAGGTTATGGAATAAAATCGATTAGCTTTTGGGTCTAAAGATTTGGAATTCTCTTCCAAATGAAATAAAATTATCCAAAAATGCAAGAAAATTGGAAGTTCTTACAAAAGATTGGTACTTCGAAAATCAATGCGCCTGTAACGCTTGCAGTCAATGACTTTTATAATGCAATATCTTAAATTGCCTCATGTTAGTGTTTATTAGCGTTAACACTATTGCCAAAATAACAGTAAATTTGTATCATTTGATTATCATTATACACTACATTAAAACCAGTTGTGCACTTGATCAGTATTGTTTATTTCGTATTGCATTCAATTCCTCACCCTCTTTGATAAAACGGTATCTTCATCGAAGAGAAGGAGGGAAATTGTTTGTTTTTTCCGAATGATCGTCTGAAGTTCAAATAGATACAGTCTTTAGGTTTTGTCAAGAAATGCGAGCTCATTCATTCATATTATGATTAAAAGGTAACAAGAGTTTGGCTAAAGGATTGCCAAAGAGGTTGGTGAATGGGTTTGCGAAACGGTTGGCGAAGTGGTTGTTAAAGAGGTCTGCGAAGTTCGTGGCTTCAGCAAAAAATATTCAGCTGTGAAGGCAATTTTGTGAGAAAATGAAAGAGCCGCCCCAAGTGGGTCACCTCGTTTGAAGGCAGAATAACCTTTTGTTCATTATATGACGTGATTTCTAAGAAAGCTGAACCCGGAAATAACTCAAAATTACGTTCGAACTATGTCTATACTGAAAGACTCCACCTTCTAGATAATCCTAGAATTACAATTGCTGCCCCGTCTTTACTCAGTCTAAAAATGGTCCTACTTTCTCTAGTCAAAGGACATAGGATGCCCTTAGAAATTCTTCTTCCTTTAGAACTTTTCTGCGGACTGTTTTCATTTTCTGAAGTACAAGTTATAAAAGAGTTTTTCTTTCAATTATAGGCAGGTGAAACAGACCGCCGTGTAAAGAAACCGGATTAGATAACGGGAGAGAAGAAACAAGGAACAATAAAAAGAAGTTCTCAGTAAAGCCATAACACAGTCATTGAAGTTGGTATTAAAAGGCTGAACTATAAAGATAAGGTCAGAGCGAAAGGGGATCGTTCACAATGCTGGTTCGCAGCTCGATTTACGAGCATTTAGAAGAATTCGTTAAAAATGGAGATTCAGCTGGGTTGAAGTTCTTTTTACGATGGGAGCAGGACCGGCGTCGTTATCTCAATCATCGCAACAACGATGGCTTGACTCTGCTACACCAAGCCTGCCTGCTTGGCAAACCCAGAGTCGTACATACGCTTGTCGAATGTGGCTGCGATATTGAAGGTCGAAGTTCTGTAGGCTGGACTGCTTTACACGCTGCCGCACTATCTGGCTGTTTCGATGTCGTGTCCTATCTCGTAAATACGTGTGC